AAGAGGGGAGGCAGCAGCTGCTGAAATGAGTCTGGACGCTGCTGACACCAACACCTGTCCATACTGGAGACACGCGGCCAGCAAATGTCCAGCCACACACACAAACATCTAGGTCTTGTACACGCACACACACCTAAACCCAACCCTCTGACGCTGACCACACCCCTCTCCTCTGGCTGACCCCCATCTGTTGCCTCCCTGGGGAGTGTGTGCATGCATCTGTGTGTGTGTGTGTGTGTAAGAGTAGGAGGTCAGGGGAGGGGACGGGCAGGCGTTGGCCCCGGCTGCCCATTGATCAACAGCTGCTGGGCTTCTCATGCTGGGCTGGACGGCAGCTGTGAAGGTGACAGCAGCTGGGCTGAGAGGAAGGTAAAAGAGCAAGGGGCTGCAGTCGGACCGGACCCCAGATCTGAGTCGGGACTGAAACTGGAGGGGGGGTGTAGAGGGGGGCTGGGAGCAGAGGTGAAAGGTGGTTTGAAGCCTCAGTAAAGGCCAGACACTAGTGAGACCTCTGCAGAGCAACAGGGCCGACACCCCAGCCATACAGAAGTGAATTATGGGAAAAAAGAAACAGGAAAGTCAGTTGGGAGCTGAGTAGAATTGAAAATCAAATTAAACTCATGTGAACAAGTATCTTTGTAAACGCGTGGGTCACATGAGGAGCTGCAGCCAACCGGAACAGAGCGCATGTGACAGGAGGTACTCGCCCTGTCACAGTTTTTCAACCTCGTCTTTAAACCCGTGTGTAAAGACGAGGCTACAAATGTTTGGAGTGCTACAATAAGCCAGTGGTTCTCAACGCACGGCGCAAATGTAGTATCAAAAGTAGTAGTATCAAATAAGCCAGTAAAGGGCACAATCAAATTTGCATCCATCAATAAAACACAAAAATGTTGACCCTGTTTTATTGAGAATATAAAAATTTAAATTTGCGAGCAGAAAGAAGCAACTACAGGTTTTAGCTAACATTAGCTCTGGTATCAATACCAGGACTGCTGTTGCTAATGCTAGCTCTCAGGTCGGAGTTGACAGTAATAGAAATATCGGTGATATCATAGACTTATTTATAAGGTGATCCTGAAATTGCTTTCAAAAAATATATACATATAAAATCCCATTTTTCCATCACACTTGGTCAGTAACCTGGTCTAAATCGATGCCCTGAACAAAGTTAATAAAGTAACAAGTGTTCAAAGGTTTATGAATCAATAAAAGTTCTGGTGTGGTAAAAGTTATAAAATTAAACTCTTTTTTTTTTTTAACGTTGTAAAATGTCATGTAGGAATTTCCAGCCTGACGCCGGAGTTCCAACTGTGGTTGAAGTGAAGAGGAGGAGGAGGAGGTGCAGGTTGGTGTGTGAGGTCTGATATAAGAGCTGACAGCTGTTCACAGTGTCGACCGTCACACATCTGCTGCCGACGGCTTCTTTTACAGAGAGGCCTCAGTTCAGTGGGAGGAGAGGGAGGGGGGGTGAAAGGGAGGGAGAGATAAAGAGGAAGAGGTGAAGAAGTGGAGCAGGTGAAGAAAAACTGTCTGAGAGGAGGGTGAAAAACCCCCCACTGAACGGTCGGGGGGGAATAGAGGAGGGAGCTGGAAAATGACGTTGAAGTGAATAAACAACAAAGTCAAATAAATTATATATATATATCTGTTACACCTGGGGCCTTAATGACCCTGAATGACCCTGTCACGGGTTTACAGGTGACCTTTGTGGAAGAAGGTCACAATAACTGAAGTAGGCTCACAGTCACAGCAAAAAAGTCAGTCAGACAGACGGTCAGTCATTCGCTGTGACAGATGACAAATACAGAAACCTTGTACAGTGTAATACGTAAAAAGGTCCCAGGTCAAACATCATGTTTGTGTGTGTTCTGTCTAAGGGTGAAATTCATTTGCTTGTCCATTTACTCTGCTTCCCTTTGTGGTACAATGCAGCAACAGTCACTGCACAAAGAGACTTCACTGTGGGATTCAAATGATGGAGGAGGTGGAGGGGCGGGGGGTAGTCAAGAAAGAAGAGGAGGAGTGAGGAGCAGGTCAAGTTCCTCCTGATTCTTCTCTGATTCTGACAGGAAGTCACAGCAAATCAACGGTCGTTTAGATTGACAGACACCAGACACTGAGTTACAGCAGGACACAAAACGGTTTCTGACCTGTCCAATAACAAATGATGAAAGTTAAAATAAAATTATTCTGCTCCCACAGCTGCAGCTGACGTTCACTTTATGACAATAAGAGTGTGTGTGTGTGTGTGTGTGTGTGTTCTGAGGCGCCATTCAGATGTAGTCAAATGAGGACAGGAAGTTTGGTGAAGGCAGGGAAATAAGCTGCAGGTGAGGACAGTGTGGTCGACCTGACCGACAGAGTCGTCATACAAACATGGAGAAGAGAAAGGAGACTGAAAGGAGATGAAGATGATGATGATGACGATCAGCCCAGTTCACACACACACACAGCACTCTTATTCCATGTCCACCTACACATCTCAACCTCCTCAGATGAACAGAGAGAATTTAACGCCACTGTCACTATCTGGTTCATTTATTTCTATTTTTAGTTATTATAAGTTGTCTCCGGAACATTTGATGGAAGATCCTTCAGAGGAGAGAAAGTTCACTCTTCTATATGCACACTCATTTGCAGTCAAATGTTGCCCTCTAGTGTTCACAAAGAAAAACTTCATAAAAGCGACAGAGAGTTTGTGCTTTTTTTTTCTGGAAATATGAAGACGTTTTAAAACTCAAATTTTAACTCAATTCATTCTTTAACACCTGCTCCGGTTTTAGTAGCTCTAAATTTTACTTTGAAAAATAAGTCAGTCGTCCATAGTCGTGTCTGTGCTGGTCAATGTTGCTATGAAATAACCACGTCGTTTTTTTAATCAGCTTTGATAGAACAATATATCGATTTATTTAATTCAAAATGTTTCTGCAAAAAAAAAATTACGGGAATATTACAATAATATCTGATGAAAAATACTATGTATTGATAGTATTAGTAATGCACTTGGCAGTAAAAACACTAGGATTAACAGAGACATACTATACTGTAAAAACACTGACAGTTCAACAACCGACGGTGAAACAGCTTTAACAGAGCGAAGTCAGAAAAACACACAGGCCGCAGTACTACAGTACTACAATACAACAGTACAGCATGAACAACTTCATACAGTATAGACACCGTACGCGCACAAACACACACACAGCATTTGACTTACAGTTGCGGAGAGAAGACATCTTGTTTGGTTCTTGACGATCTCTGAGTTCCTGAAGACCGAGGTGGAATTACGGCCTTTACGGGACTTTCCTGTGGAACTTTCAGGCCAAACTGGAGATAAACTGGGAACACGACAGACTGAGAGGAACTTCGGTTCCTGTCGTTCTTTAATAAAACTTCTTCATCAAACTAAAGCTCAACATATTATCTAATATGTTGCCAACGTCCTGTTTCTTCTTCTGTTGTTGAAACTTTCCCTCCATTTTCTTTTCTTCTAACAGGTGTGTTTGATTTAATCACCTTCTCCCTCCTTCCTGTTCAAGTGACATACGTTTGACTTCAGGCTACGACAATGATATATGTCAAATGTATTTGTATGAGTGTATGTACGCACGTACGCATTGAAGTATGCGTGTATTAATCTCATATCATTTATGCCTGTAAATTTGTATATACAGTGTGTATGGATAAATGTATGTACAGTATGAATGTTAATTCGTATGTTTGTATTAAGTTACCCCCGCCCTCATTCATTCCGTTATTTACCAGTCAAATGTAATGCTGGTGTAATATTTTCATGTGACCCCAAGTCGTAAAGTAATTTTTCATTAGTCGTAAAACCAGGTTAGAAACGACACCAGTCCAACATCAAAGAACTGCTTTAATGTTTATGTCTAAATATCCCTGAATTAAAAAAAACGTGTTTTGACACTGTCAATATATGTCAATATATTTACACTGTTGTTTCTGTGTGTTTTTTCACGACCTTCTTTAACACAAACACAACACTGACGTATTTACGATATATTTATATCTTAAGACAATCATCAGAATGACAGAGTTTAAAAAAAAAGTGACAGAGAAAACGGGACACCAGTTTGTAAAAATGGCAAAGATAAAGATGAGCTTCTCATTATATCATCACCATCATCATCATCATCATCACCAGCATCAGTCTTCAGCTACTTCTTTAAAGGCTAACTCGTTTCAACAAGGCAACGACTTTATGACGAAGACAAAATAAAACTTTGAACAAACACATTAAAAACACGGAAGTTCCCTTTGTGGAGACCTGGTGTGTTTGAACACACATTGAATAAAGAAAAAAAAAAGATAAAACCCATTCACACCAATTCACACCTGATTGGCACAGAGCAGAGAAATACAGTAGAGATTTGAAACATCAGTGTGAGCAGAGTGTGTGTGTGCATGTGTGAAGTGTCCTCTCTCAGACCTGAGTATGTCATGTGACTGAGGGACAACCTGACCCCCACACCCCTCCCCCTACCATCACTGACCTGGACACCTAATTCAGCAGGAGACTCCAACTCCCAAACATGCCGTACAACTAGCGCCCCCTCGTGGAAAAGAAACATGTGCACTATTTTCACTATCTTAAATTTCATGTGCAACGTCACCTGTTCACTAGTGTGTGTTCGGGCAACAAAATTACTATGTGCCATCGTTGGACTGATATTATTCACAGTTTATCTGCATTAATTAATTACAATCATCTCAAGTAATTAGTCTTTAAACTGCAACATCCCATAATAACTACACCTGTATACTGGACAGTCTGAGAAGCTGTTACCCATGTTACCCCTGTTTCCCCGGACTGCACTCTGCTGCTGTCAACACTGTCGGAAAAAACAAAGGAGTTCTTAATTCTTAATGAGTGGGGCGGGGGCGAGTGAGGGGTCAGGTCCAGTCCAAAAGATGAGACGGGTTTAAAGAGCAAATGTGATGATGGTGTCTTTGTCAAACAGGGCAGTAGGTCCACTGATGGAGAGGGGGCAGATGTTCCTGCTGCTGCCCACCACTGCCCCCTTCCCGGTTCTCCACCTCCCCCCACCTTTAGAAGATCTGGATCATGGACTCACGAGACTTCCCCACGCCGATCCATTTGACTGAGGAAGCAGAAGAGACAGAGACAGGAGTTTAAGAAACACACACATACCTCCATTCTTCACTTTGACTTTAACAAAACACATGAGCTCATCGTCGGTAGACAAACAGTACCAGGAACTCCCACATGCTCCTCCACAAAGCGAACGTATTTCTGTGCGTTCTCCGGAAGATCCTCAAAACTCCTAGCAGCCGACGTGTCGCTCTTCCAGCCGGGCAGCGTCTCGTACTGGACCTCGACGCGGTGCAACACCTCCTGATTGGCTGAAGAAAGGATCAACAGGAAGTTACATCAGACAACCTGCCCTTTCTTCTCATTCTCACCGATGCGGACCATGAAGGTGAAGGTGGGCTGACCTGGGAAATGGGGTATGATCTGGTCGTCCACTTTGTAGGCCAAGCCCACTTTAATCTCTGAGAGAACGTCCAGGATGTCCAGCTTGGTGAGAGCCAGGCTGAAGTAGGAGAAAAGAGGCGTTCAGGTGTCGGCTGTAGTCGACAACACCAGTTTGAAGAAGTGAAGAGTTCACACTCACGCAGTGAAGCCATTGATCATATGAGCATATTTAATGAGCACCAGGTCCAACCAACCACATCGTCTCTTCCTGCCCGTGGTCACACCAAATTCCTTACCCCGACTCTGGAGCAGTTCTCCGATCTCCTACACACACACACATTGAAGAATATATTTATTATTTTTACGTTGTTAAACAGAGGAGCACACGTCTGTAGTCGATGAAATAAAACAGAACTCGAAACCAAACAATGTATGGGAAACCAGTGCGGAGGATTATTTTGTGCTAATGATGGTGAATGTCCACTAGATGGTACTGTTGGACAAGAAAAAAAATCTAAATTTTGCCAAAACGTTTCATGGTATGATTAATTTAGAATTAAGTCACAATCATAATATATTCATTTATGGACGTCACAATCATCATAATCATAATATATTCATTTATATGTGTGTGTGTGTCCTCTCACATTATTCAGCTCTGAGGGAAACGCTCCGATGCCCACTCTGGTGGTGTAGGCTTTCACCACCCCGTACACCTCCCCCACGTTGTGGGGGGGCATACCCAGTCCTGTACACACTCCTCCCACCGTGCAGTTCGATGACGTCACAAATGGATACGTTCCTGCAGGAGAGAGCACCAGAAGAGAATACGTGTCAAGGACAGTGAGAGCACCAGTGGAGCCAAAAAAAAAAAAAATGCTGGGACGCAAATGTAGTTTCTTATTGTTTCTCCTTCTGACGTCAGCACAGAAATGTTAGAGCAGTTAAACAGAGGCTGAAGGCTACAGACAAACTCTGACAGAACCACAGACGCAGTAACACTGGACACTGAGGTCAGCCTGGGGTCAGAACCTGAGAGGAGACACACACTGGACAACATCGGTCCAGAAGAACGCTTCTGAAACCCAGTGGAGACTTGTACAGATGAGCAGGTCTGCCACCTGCAGCTGACGCCGTGTCCTTCAGTGGTCATGTGGACCATCCGTGGGCCGTCCTCCAGAACACTGATCCTGACGGCAGCAGATGAAGTTAAGACTCTGTGTCTACTTCAGTGTCAACGGGAAAGTTAACTTTATCTCCTGAGTGAGACGCAACGTCAGAAGGACACGGGGACACGAGACACTTTGACCTGGTGTGAAGGCGTGTCTTCAGACTGACTACAGCGTTCTATGACATTCATTCACAGGCAGGTGGCGCTGAGATGATACATTCTGGTGATATATGAATAATCTCCTGACTTCCTGACTTAAGTTTAAGTTTAAGTTTAAGTTTAAGGTACTGACCAAAGTCTATGTCCAGCAGGGCGGCGTTGGCTCCTTCCACCAGGATCTTCTTCGGAGGACCGTGGAGAGCCTCGTACATGAAGTGAACTCCGTCTCGGACCATGGGTTTGATTCTCTCCACATAGTCCTGTGGAAACAAACGTTTGTAAAAAAAAAAAAAAAGAAAACAACAACAAAATGATGTTGTAGAAACAGTTCTCTGTTCCATCTTTCTGGTACCTTTAATTTGACCAGCTCTCCCTCAGTGTCGATGGTCAGAGTCGGGTACATGGACTTGTACTGTTTGGCCAACATGGTATACCTGCAGAATAAACCTGGTTCATCATTCGTTACTGGACAGAAACATTAAAACAGCTCTTTGTCAATGACTCAAGGACCTCGTCCTGGAAAATCAATGATGATGATGATTAACCCTTGAACCTGAGTTCAAGGTGAACCAGACCTTTCAGAGAAGTGGGTGAAGTCGGCCAGAAGGTCACATATCCTGAGGCCGTTACGGGCTGCTTTGGCTGAGTACACTGGACCAATCCCCTTCTTTGTTGTACCCAGACTGGGCGGAGCCAAGAGGAGTGAGGGAGGGGTGGGGGAGATGATAATCTCAGACGTGTCATTAGTTCGCCCCAGTATGGAGCAGCTTCATCAGTTCATCTGTTACAGTGACGGTGCTGACTTTGATTGACAGGTCAGTTTGTCTATGTTTATCTAACCTACGGTAGAAACACAAAAGAGTTCAGAAAAAATTCATATATATATGTATATATATGTATATATACATATATATACATACATATATACACATATATATACATATATACATATATATACACATATATACACATATATACACATATATATACACATATATACAC